CCATGCCAAACCAAACAGATGATAGTCATGAAGATCGACTGGAATCCATCTGTAGCAACGTCGTATGTCGGCTTTGAACAATAAGCAATCTTGACAATATTGATTTATTATTTGAATCAGGTTGTATGTCCAAAAAATCTGCCTGCTGGAAAAGATAGATCCATAACAGTTCGCCTTTCAAAGAACCTTTTTTGGTACAGATGATAGTGGAGAGAATGCCAATGGTAGTGATAGTGATAGTGGATTGCCTGAAAATGGACTGGCGATTGCTCTAAGCATGGTTTCCTTGGCAATATATGAATCAGTATGAGATGCAAAATTGACTGCAGAATTGTGAATATGCTTGACTGTGTGGGGTAGCACGCTATCTGTGTAGTTGATTGGCCAACCAAATCGTAGAATGATAATGTTATCAAAATAATCGTGTAGCGATGTACGCCACAGTTCCACATTGAATGTTGATGGCACGGTAATTTGCTGATTCTGGTAGTTTGGCTTGTCTGATTGCACGATAACTGTGTGTGCTTCGATAGTTGGTGGTTCGATAATGCTGGTGTTGGTCAAATAAAGCTGTTTTTTCTTAATGTTTTGTACAGTGCATAATGGGTTGTTAAAACGATTTGGCGTAACCTTGTTAGACCCTACAACATCATCACCTGTATCCTTGTGGGTATTTTGGTTGTAGTGCGCAATAGATTGGTCTGGTGTTTTACTGCTATGTGAGACAACGGTGTTGGTATCCATCGAGGAGATACATGTTCCATGCGAGGTAACTATGGTTTTCTCTTTGGTGGTGCTGTCCAACACGGAACACGTTTGTGAAGTGATGCATTTGTGTGGTCCTGGGAGACCGAGTCCAACGAGGGGACAAAATGTTCGTGAGGGGTAAAACAATTGAGGTATCAGTGATTGTACTGCTGGGATCGTGATTAATGTAACTGTCACTATTATTTTGTATATTGGTATGTGGTTGTCATTCCTTTGGTTTGTGTGGGCAGTCGTTGGCTGAATGTGTGGCCTTGATTTTGCGCATGAACAAACACGGGCGGCAAATATGGTACTCTGTATCTTATGCTGATAGTTTGCCTAGTAAAGAGACATATTGTCTTAATATGTGAAAAGTCGCCGTTCCATCCTTGTGAACCCCTCTCTATTTCCTTCAGTACTTCGGCATGGTAACTGCAGACTTCGCTCCAAGTATGCAACTCACAAATGTGCAGTAAGTCAGTAAGGTGGATGGTACGTAGCTGCTTGTATTGTTCAGGCTCTTTGTGAAAAATGATGTAAATTTCGCCCCTTGTCAATGCTGCTGGGAGGGTCAGTTGGTTGTATAGCAACTCATCTGTATTTGAACCATGTGTAGCCAGTTAACTTGTAAACTCATGGGGCCATGGAACTATGTACAACACTTGCAGCACCTGATGTTGGCTTATTTTCCTTTATTTTAGGGTGAAATACATCATAAGTTAGTTTCCTACCATTCGTTGGAATCTGAAGATGATGTTGTAGACTGCTCAGATTCAGAATCTGATTCAGGCTGAGCTATGGGTTTCTACTATTTGCAACTTTTTCTTCGCTTTATGCACTTTTTTCACTACTGACTTTTTGATATCAGCGATGTCACTTTGGATTTAGAACTGTGTGTTTTCTTGGCTTTGCTTTTGAGAGCTTCGTGTTTGGCCTTTCTGCCCCTATTTGTATTTCAATTTGCAGTTGTATGTTTTTTTGACGAAGAGCCTCCAGCACATTTTTATTTCCTGAGAAGTTGTAAAACTCCAAATGGATCAGTTTGCGAGTTTCAGTTAACTTAGCTAGTAGTGATGGCGATGTGATGCATGTTACGTCGTCCTGCTGTGTAGGAGTTGAAGTAGCCAGTTGCTGGTGTTATTCCTGCAAAGTCGCCCTGATTGTCCTCAATGATTGCGTAAGGATACTTGACAAGTAGAACAATGTCGATGTGGACGTTGATTCATTAGGATTAGGCGGATTGTGACTGTAAATACATATGAAAAAGTAACCAACTCAAAGATGGCGAGCCACAAATGACGATGGGAAATACATTACTACTAAATAGAAGGCGCTCTCTCTAACCAGAAACAGAGTTATCTTTAATTAATCAAATTTTTCACAATACTGATAAAAATTTCACTAAATGAAATACTTATCCACAATGTTATCAAAGTTCATGTAACACTTACCCAGAGTGATACAGTTATAGACGTGCTTTGCCACATCATTTATAATGTTTTCATCTTTATTGCTTAATATTAATTAATAACTTGAATAATGTTGTGTTTTCTGACCAGACTTTCTCTTGCTACATTATTGTACCTTCTCTTTTCAATCTGTAAGAGATGTGAAAAATCTGTTTTTAATTTTCTGTGAGTTCTCAGTTTGTCGTTATGGCTTGTGCCTTTGTTGTCATTGTGCATAAATTCTTTACATCTTTTCTGGCATTGAGCTTCAAGTTTTTGACAAATTTCCTTTATTAAGGCTAGACACTAGATACTCAATTTTGTGTATCTAAATGTTGCATTTTCAAACCAAGCTTATACGCTTCGCTCATTAATGTATTTTCTGGCATATCCCTTTACAGTATAATTGCATGGCGTTTTGAAGTCGAACGTCAACACTTCCCACAACACCACTGGTCGCTTATTCTGTTCCCATAGTCCATTTTTTATTTTATTTTTGACACAGGAATTATAGAAGTAAGCGGCTTTTCATAAACGATTTCGGGCAGTGGCTGGTAAATGTCACGTGTAAGAAAGGTAAATGATCGCAATGACAATTGTATAAAGACCTAAGAATACCCAGGGGATCTCATATCAATTATATTACAATTAATTATGACTTAAATGATGTACAGATAATATTGTCATTTGTCTCTGAACCCATCGATGAATCTTTCAATTTACATATAACTTTTAAAAAAATAATAGCCATTATTATTATTATTATTCCTAGGCAATTATTCACAACAACACAAAATACGGTTCTTTGTATTGAATAGACAAACACTAAATGGCACCAGTCATTTAGACTAGATGGAATTGTGGTATATAAGTATATAAATGTAATCGAACAGTAAGTTTATTCTCCTAGTAAATGCGATTTCTGTTCAACGGGAACGTTCCGAACAGTGAGCTTAAATAATTCAGGTGAATTTCTAATATTTCCTGGAATCTAATTTTGTTTTTTTAACGCGAGTTCAATTAATGAATTGGCGGTAAGTAAACACAATTTAGAATTCTCAGTCATGCTTTTGGTAGCGACATTTAGTTTTCAACAATTATTTTTTAAAATGAGTGGTAAATCGTATTTTCAATAGCCACGTTAATAGTGTATGTTTTCTGGATGCTTCAAAAAGCCTTTGAGATGGTCTACAAGAGATTTCAATATACCACACAACAATAATCATTCTTTTTTGACTTCATACAGCTTCATGTATCAAAGATTCTACCCACCTTTTAAAAATATGCCACGCCCAATTATTTATCCCACAATCCTTTGCAAAATCCAATATGGTAGAAACACATTTCTGCCCTATAATGTACATTGCACGTCATCCCCGAGGTCATCATGTAAACGAAGCGTGGGAGCATAACTGACTATAACATTGTTCATTCTATTTGTCTTCGGTCTATCATTATTTGCGTTGGGTCCATAGCCGCCTACTCGATGTGCAAATAACTAAAAAATATCCCCTGGCGCGTCAATAAAATGAAAAGACTCTAATTAAAAATAAGATTTTGATTTTTGTTGTTTATTTCAAAAACCTATTATTGAAAGGGGGTGTCTGCATGGAAGCATAACTACGAGAATCACAGCTATTTTTTATTGATATTGCTTATCCCTAAATCATCAACTGAACTCCGTCAAAAATAAAAAAAACATGTTAGCTTGTAGAAAATGTCAGAAATTCACCTTGCCGTCATTAGCGACGGACCAAAATTAACTATTGGTTAGCAATTTTCTAGAAATCAGTTTATCTGAAATCCGCTAGACAAAAAAATCAAATAAACACTTGATGAAAATTACAGTAAAATATCCAAATTGCTTGGATTTAGGCGGAATAAACGTCGATCACGCTGGACGGTAGTGATAAATTGGGAATAATGTAATGTCTAATAAATTGTTAAACGATTTTTATACAGATCACTTGACATCAAAGATGAACCACTTGTCAGCTTTTCTTGTAAAACAAGAAATTAAAATGACTGGATTGGAATTCAGAACCCACACGATGCCCATTGAGATATTCGAAAACCAATAAGTCATTAGCTTTTGAGCTATGTGAATCACTGATTTTTAAATTCATGAATATTTATAAGTTGAATATGATGTAGATCCACCTGCTACAATTTCACTATGCATATTTTTTGAGAACTATGACTACAAATGTCGAAAGGCCAAAGTGCACGTGCACTTGCAACTACCACCAACACAAGAAACGTTAGGAGAGACAGTAGTAACCCATTGTTCATAACATTAACAATAACCAAAGATGCGGCCCAACTAACACCAATAAAATAATCATTCGAAATATACTGTGTGATCGTCCACATTTTCATGCCGGTATAAATACTGATATGACATAATAACATAAAAATTAAATTGAATTATTTCTTATTAAAAAGGCGCTACCTTTCAGCAGCGTAAACTTGGCTCAATAAAATCTCATTAAACTCTTCCATGTTTTTGTTATACATTTGCGAACAAAATAGGCAGAATAATATTTGTCAACCATTAAAGATCCATGTCCGAATTCCACCGGCGCCGTCGTCAACTTGAATTTGAACAAGCGTCCATTCAAGATGTTGACGTATGTTTAAAATATACGTAAACAATCGTCTCAAAGTTGTTAGATCGTTCAAAGTAATGCGCCACCGGTTTGACTGAGGTAATATGAACACGACCAATGGCTGACAGTTTCTTTGTTCACGAAGTGTCATAAATTATCGATAACATCTCGGGTCACATGGTCAATAAAACACCAGATTTCATTCAGCTACGAAGTTTGCTTTTGCCGCCCAGCTTGTAGAATTGTGTCGATATGAACCAAGACTATATTTGGGATGCTGTTGTAGTTGGGGCTGGAGTTGAAGGCTCGTCGACAGCGTACAACCTATCAAAGAACAACCAGAAGACATTGTTGTTGGAACAAGTCAGTATTTCAACCAATTTGTATATTTATTACGCACAATATCAATGACCCATCGTGTGATCTGTAACACCTTGGGTCCAATAAATAATAGATAATATGAACAATCCACGATGAATTCATTGAATGTAATACATGTCCTTGCGATCAAGTGACCTCATTTATTGGGAATTGTGTATTTGGTTCTATCATGGATGTACATGGTTCTATACAATGACACGTTCTATGTGTTATCAACTGTGCTCCTAGACACTGTGACAACAACTTTTGAACCGCTGATATATGTTAAACGGTAGTGGCCAATTCTCTTGAAAATATCCTGATACGACAAAGATTTTCAATTTTCACCAATCGACAACATACATCACCAAACCACACCATATCATATACCACCATACCGTTTTGCTGGTGTGTCAATCATGTTGAGTGACCTTCGAATGCCAGTGCACGGTTGACCTCTACAAAGGTCAGAACCGGATAACAATCTTTACAGAACAAGATTATCTATAAACATAGTTGAACGCTGGTGACCTTGCCCTTTGGTATATAATATTATTCCCTTTATCATAGTTTGTTTCAATATGAATATGCATTTCATAAATAATTTTGAATACAAACAAGTTTTGGGGTTGAAACAACAGTAGGAAAGCAGTTTACCGAATGTCCCCGATAGATGTAAATATCTTATAAAATCATTGCTGCCTAATTTGTTTAATTATTTTAAGGCACATAATTTCAAGCTTTATTCAAAGTAATTTAGACGTGAATAGATTCATAAATCATACAAGATAACAGAAAATCTTAGCTGGCTTTTGTCCAAGTATTTTGTACAGGTATGACTACTGTATTATTTGAAAAGTAAAAGAAAAAAAACCTCTATGAATAGCTATCATGCTGCAAGCTCTGCTTTTTATGCAAATCAACTTAAATAGTTAGTTGGTGTCCAGTAGAAAGAGAAGTAAACAGTACTGTTGCCTCCTGAGAATCTACATCTTCAAACACTGAAATCTTATTGAATTTTTAAATTATTATTATTATTATAAAAGCTCTATCATTCTGTCCTAATAGATGAAACAAAGTCCTGTGAATTTTCATTTGTCGAATGAACTGTTTGTCAAATACAGAATACCTATTTTTGAGTACAATTTTCTTTTCAAAATGTGGATGCAACGTTTTGCTTTTTATGTATTTTGTATGTATTGTTTTTGGTTTGATAACTTTGGACTAAACAGATTTTCTATTAGCTTCAGATCTTGATCACATTTTGGCACCCAATTCATAAGAGCGCTTATATTGATTTTCTGAAATCTTGTTTTCTGTAAAGATTTTAGGTTTGCAAATGTGTATCAGACTGTGCAAAACTCTCTCCATGAGTTGGTTTTGATACCCAGTCTAGTATTGTCCAATCATAGTCATGTCCCATAGTCCAGTCTATGGGTTTTGGGAGATACATTACCAAGGATATTATTACAAGATAAATGATTTGCTTTATTGAACACGTACAACAATGCATATTTCTACTGAAATCAGTGACCTTTGAATGTGTACCACCAATGATCAGACAAGTAGAAACAGTCAAAATATTTTATCAGATTTTCTCAATTTTTGCATGATATTTTCATACAGGACAACTGTTGTTCAAACTCAGGGATGACTGGAATAGTTTGGAATAGAATTAGTATTTTGCACACAATAACAATTGATAACGACGACAACGACAACACCGGACAAAAATGTTTCCCTTAGTATATATCTTTGATGTTACGAGGATAGAAAATACACATCTAATTAGCATATTAATACTCAACCTTTCTAAAGCAATATACATTTGTATTCGTTGTAAAGACGATGCAGTGTCATGCGACCGATCTCTGTTTTTTATCAGGACTGCCGGGCAGCATTTTTTAAAAGTTACATATTTGTTGTGAACAGAACGTCGAAGTAGGGGAACTCAGAGAGCTTGCAGTTAACCCTTACTCGGAGAGGCACCGGTTTCGTACCCAAAAGTATACACACCTTAGTTAGTTACGGATGTTCAGCTTTATTCATTCAAATGGTCAGCTGAGGTAACCCCTCGCAATCATCTGCTCCCTTTCTCTCTTTTACAAAGCATTACAAACTTTACCTTAAAAAGACGGGGCAGAGTAAACTTGCGATCAGCCAATCGCTGCAGTCGTTCGCACGATCACGTGATTACAATGGATGTGTGTCACGGTTAATACCTTGCAAAAGTTGCGACTACTAAATACAATTAGCAACAATCTATTTATCAAATTTCTGTAATATATGATTATAATGTTTACCCCCTAAACATGTAAGTTATTGATTATAAACAACACTACCAAAGCGTGTGAACCAAATGTGCGTAAGTGACGTCATTGATAACACATTTATCCCACATATCATATCATACCATTTCCATACTATAACATTCCCAGAAATATTTGACATTTTCATAATTTATGATCATATTTGAACACATAGCTGTTTGTTATACTTGTTTCCTGGCATTTTACAGTTTGGTCTACCCCACTCTCGAGGCAGCTCCCATGGACAGACGAGAATTATTCGCTATGGGTATTCAGAACCATACTACAGTGCTATGATGCCAGAATGTTTCAGGATATGGCACGATGTTGAGAAGCAGACTGGTGTTACTCTCATAACGTAAGATATAATAAATATTTAAGTGCATATACAAATAACCAATAATCTGACGGTGTTTTCTGGGGGGGGGCAATGAAATGTTTCGTATTCATGACATATTCCCCGATCCATATTGTTTTCTATGTTTTCTTTAAATTGAACATGAGATTTGTCTCAAAATGTACTTTGTCATATGAGCCATTTTTTAACATTCTTTTCCAAAGCTGTCACCATGTTTTTGGCAGTTTGATTGTGATTGTATTGGTGTTGTGTGGTTGGGTTTAGAGGACAGGTTTATTTTTATTTTTTGGACTAATATTTTTTCTTGATGAACACAATCAACACGTCAATACAAACAAATAATCAATTTGTCCATTTCACAGAGAGACCAAGCTGTTAACTCTTGATATTCCCCCATACACGGGACTTAAAAATAAAAAGGAAGTTCTAACAAACCTTGGAATTGGCTTAGAGTCATTTAATGGTCGTCAACTTAAAGAGAAATATCCTATGATAGAGTGCGGGCCACAATATAAAGCAATACTTGAAAATGGTGCTGGGGTCATCAGAGCAGACAAGTCACTGAAAGCTTTACAGGTATATTATAAATAAATAAAATATGTTTATCTCTGTTTTATCGTTTATTGCTTTATCTTATATTATCTTCTACTTTTGTCAGGACAAATAATCATTATGAAATATCATAAAATACAATTCGTGTTATGCATTTATTGACATTCAGTCAAAAGCAATATATCTCTATAATACAGGAACTTTTTGTGAGAAATGGTGGAGTAATACATGATGAGGAAAAGTATATTGATGTCTTCCCTGGTGATGTTTTAACAATACGTACAAATAAAGGAAGTTACAAAGCAAAATGTTTAATACTAACAGTAGGACCCTGGGCAGGAAAATTGTTAAACCCCCTTGGAGTTCATGTACCATTAAAGGCAAGTTCTTATTTTTCAATCAGTAATGTCGAAGAAGGGTAAGGTTTATATTACAGTTTTGAGTGGATGGGGTAAATATTCCACAACTTGAAGGATTCAATCCGCTAAGATTGCTGTTATTGGAATTTTAAATTGATCATCGACAACTTTTCGATTACGTTATAATAATATGTTTTACGTGTCATGAGTGTGATAACTTTCAATAAAAGAAACTATTTCGTTAAAGTAAAAGCAGATGCGGTGTCACACACGACCGTACCAAGTAGTAATTTATTAGAATTAATGAGTTTTTGCTACAATGATTTTATTATGATATGAAATGATTTGTACCATACATTTCTATATAGAAGTGCTACATTCCTACATTGACGTGCCATATTCCTACACTGACGTGCCACATTGCTACCTTGACGTGTCACATTCCCACATTGCTACATTGACGTGCCACATTGCTAGTATTGACGTGCCACATTGCTACATCGACGTGCAACATCCCTAAATTGACGTGTCACATTCCAGCATTGACGTACCACATTGATACACTGACGTGCCACATTGTTACATTGACGTGTCGCATTGCTACATTGATGTGCCACATTCCAACATTGACGTGTCACATCCATACATTGACGTGTCGCATTCCTACATTGACGTGCCACATTCCTACATTGCTACCTTAACATGTCACATTCCCAGATTGCTACATTGACGTGCCACATTGCTTATATTGACGTGCCACATTGCTACATCGACGTGCAACATTCCAGCATTGACGTACCACATTGCTACACTGACGTGTCACATTGTTACATTGACGTGCCACATTCCTACATTGACGTGCCACATTGCACCACTGACGTGCCACATTGCTACCTTGACGTGTCACATTCCCACATTGCTACATTGACGTGCCACATTGCTAATATTGACGTGCCACATTGCTAATATTGACGTGTCACATTGCTACATCGACGTGCAACATCCCTACATTGACGTGTCACATTCCAGCATTGACGTACCACATTGATACACTGACGTGCCACATTGTTACATTGACGTGTCGCATTGCTACATTGACGTGCCACATTCCAACATTGACGTGTCACATCCATACATTGACGTGTCGCATTCCTACATTGACGTGCCACATTCCTACATTGCTACCTTAACATGTCACATTTCCAGATTGCTACATTGACGTGCCACATTGCTAATATTGACGTGCCACATTGCTACATCGACGTGCAACATCCCTACATTGACGTGTCGCATTCCAGCATTGACGTACCACATTGATACACTGACGTGCCACATTGATACATTGACGTGTCGCAATGCTACATTGATGTGCCACATTCCAACATTGACGTGCCACATCCATACGTTGAAGTGTCGCATTCCTACATTGACGTGCCACATTCCTACATTGCTACCTTGACATGTCACATTCCTACATTGCTACATTGACGTGCAACACCCCTACATTGACGTATCACATTCCAGCATTGACGTACCACATTGCTACACTGATGTGCCACATTGTTACATTGACGTGTCGCATTGTTACATTGATGTGCCACATTCCTACATTGACGTGCCACATCCGTAGATTCACGTGTCACATTCCTACATTGACGTGTCGCATTGCTACACCGATGTGCAACATCCCTACATTAATGTGTCACATTCCTACATTGACGTGTCGCATTGCTACATTGACGTGCAACATCCCTTCATCGATGTGTCACATTCCAACATTTACGTACCACATTGCTACATTGATGTGTCACATTGCTACACCGACGTGCAACATCCCTACATTGACGTGTCACATTCCAACATTGACATACCACATTGCTACATTGACGTGCCACATTCCTACATTGACGTGTCACATTCCTACATTGACGTGTCGCATTGCTACACCGACGTGTAACTTCCCTACATTGACGTGTCACATTCCAACATTGGCGTACCACATTGCTACACTGACGTGCCACATTCCTATATTGACGTGCCACATCCCTACATTGACGTGCCACATTCCTACATTGACTTTTGGCATTGCTACATTGACATGCCATATTCCAACATTGATTCGCCACATTCCTACATTGACGTGTCACATTCCTACATTGACGTGTCATATTCCTACATTGACGTGCAACATTCTTAAATTGACGTGTCACATTCCAACATTGACGTGTCGCAATCCTACGATGACTCGCCACATTCCTACATTGACGTGCCACATTCCTACATTTATGTGTCGTATTGCTAATATTTACGTGCCACATTCCTACATTGACGTACCACATTGCTACATTGATGTACCACATCCCTACATTGACGTGTCGTATTGCTAAAATTGAAGCGCCACATCCCTACATTGACTCGCCACATTGCTACATTGACCTGCCACATTCCTATATTTACGTGTGGCATTGCTACATTGACATGCCATATTCCTACATTGACGTGTCACATTGCTACATTGACGTGTCATATTCCTACATTGAAGTGCAACATTCTTAAATTGACGTGTCACATTCCAACATTGACGTGTCGCAATCCTACGATGACGTGCCATATTCTTACGATGACATGCCATATTCCTACATTGACTCGCCACATTCCTACATTGACGTGTCGCATTGCTAATATTGACGTGCCACATCCCTACATTTACTCGTCACATTGCTACATTGACGTGTCATATTCCTACATTGAAGTGCAACATTCTTAAATTGACGTGTCACATTCCAACGTTGACGTGTCGCAATCCTACGATGACGTGCCATATTCTTACGATGACATGCCATATTCCTACATTGTCTCGCCACATTCCTACATTGACGTGTCACATTCCTACATTAACTTGTCATATTCCCACATTGACGTGCAACATTCTTAAATTGACGTGTCACATTCCTACAATGACGTGTCATATTCCTACATTAACGTGCCATATTCCTACATTGACGTGTCGCAATCCTACGATGACGTGCTATATTCCTACATTGACTCGCCACATTGTTACATTGACGTACCACATTGCTACATTAACGTACCACATTGCTACATTGACGTACCACCTCCCTACATTGATGTGCCACATTCCTACATTGACGTGCCACATTCCTACATTGACGTGCCACATTTCTACATTGACGTGTCGCATTGCTAATATTGACGTGCCACATCCCTACATTGACTCGCCATATTGCTACATTGACGTACCACATTGTTACATCGACGTAGACCATTGCTACGTAAGCAAATAACACCGAATAAACGGCAAGGTAAATACTACATCTAATTATAGTAAACACGTACTTAATCGGTATGTCACAAAATGTATCCAAAGAATGATGCTTTATTGCTTTAATGTTGTTTTTAAAAATAAGTCCAGTGACTTAGGAAGAATGCAATGCACTGTTAACTTCAGAGAAATATTCATAAAATGATACAAATGCATGATTTGTCAGAACATGGTCGATTACCTTGAAAAAAATTGAATTCAGTTTGTGCATATAATCGTTTCAAAGGAAAACTTAACGAAATGTCACAAACTCCCATATGTGAATAAACATGTGGCGTGTCTTTTAAACCCGAACTTAAAGCGGGGTGTCGTCACCTGTGCATGCATCAGATGGCCATAGCGTGTCATTGTTTAGAAACAAGCGTCTACCCATGACCCTTTGCGTTATTAGCGCGTGTTGTTATCGTCGCTTGTGACTCAATTCCTGCGCGTGCGCAGGTGACGACCCCCTCTTTAAACCAATTTTTTTTCTCATCAACACTAACAAAATGTAGGACATTTAAATATATAAATCGTTTTTTTTCTCTCCCAGAATTAATTGATATATAAAATACTTTGAGGTTCTATATTGATAAATTGGGGTGCTACATTCATATATTGAGGTGTCATATTGTTATCATATGGTGCTACATTGCTACCTTATGGTACTACATTGCTACCTTATGGTGCTACATTGTTACTTTATGGTGCTACATTGCTACTTTATGGTGCTACATTGTTACCTTATGGTGCTACATTGCTACATTATGGTGCTACATTGTTACTTTACGGTGCTACATTGCTACCTTATGGTGCTACATTGTTACTTTATGGTGCTACATTGCAACCTTATGGTGCTACATTGTTACTTTATGGTGCTACATTGCAACCTTATGGTGCCACATTGCTACCTTATGGTGCTACATTGCTACTTCATGGTGCTACATTGCAATCTCATGGTGCCACATTGCTACCTTATGGTACTACATTGTTACTTTATGGTGCTACATTGTTACTTTATGGTCCTACATTGCTACCTTGTGGTGCTACATTGCTACCTTATGGTGCTACATTGCTACCTTATGTTGCTACATTGCTACCTTATGGTGCTACATTGCTACTTTATGGTGCTACATTGCTACAGTGTGCTACATTGCTTACTACAGGGTGCTACACAGCTACCTTATGGTGCTACATTGCTACCATAGGGAGTTACATTGCTACGTTATGGTGCTACATTGCTACGTTATGGTGCTACATTGCTACCTTATGGTGCTACATTGCTACCTTATGATGCTACATTGCTACCTTATGGTGCTACATTGCTATCTTATGGTGCTACATTGTTACCTTATGGTGATACATTGCTACCTTATGGTGCTACATTGTTACATTATGGTACTACTTTGCTACAGGGTGCTACATTGCTACAGCGTGCTACATTGCTTACCACAGGGTGCTACACAGCTACCTTATGGTGCTACATTGCTACCATATAGGGAGTTACATTGCTACGTTATGGTGCTACATTGCTACCTTATGGTGCTACATTGCTACCTTATGGTGCTACATTGCTACCTTATGGTGCTACATTGCTACCTTATGGTGCTACATTGCTATCTTAAGGTGCTACATTGCTACATTATGGTGCTACACAGCTACCTTATGGTGCTACACTGCTACCATAGGGAGTTACATTGCTACCTTAATGGGCTGCATTGCTACCATAGGGTGCTACATTGCTAGCTTATGGTGCTACACAGCTACCTTATGGTGCCACACTGCTACCATAGGGAGTTACATTGCTACCTTAATGGGCTGCATTGCTACCACAGGGTGCTACTAACATTGCTAGCTTATGGTGCTACATTGCTAGCTTATGGTGCTACATTGCTATCTTAAGGTGCTACACTGCTACCATAATGGGCTACATTGATACTTTGAGGTGTTACACCGCTACTTAGCTACATCTTAATACCAGAGTACCACTTGACTACATTGCTGCATTGAAAAGCTTTATTGAAGTACTATATTGTTACATTGCTACCTCGTCACCATTTACAGCAGATAATGTCATATGTCAAAATATGCAGAAAGTTCCGTTTTAACAATTTCACTTCCGTTTCAATTCATAGGCTCAACGTATTAATGCATGTTACTGGAGAGAAAAAAGTCCTGGTAATTGTGCTGGTTTCCCAAATTTTATTGATAACTCGCACCGTACATATGGGATACAAATCACCGAATACCCTAACACCATGAAGGTAAAGCAGTACATATTTGTTTATATCTTTATTGTTAATAGGTTATAAAGACAAAACTGTGTTATTGGAAAGAGAAATCCAGTGGTTCATTCTCTAATTTCCCGTGTTTTGTGGATTACACGGGTAGTTTGGTGTATGGTGCATGTCCATTGGAATATCCTAATGCCATGAAGGTCTGTTCATATCGGCTCATTGTTTCATTATTCAGACATTCCGACAGTACATTGTTTTTACCTGACACTGGAAACAGTGGAGCTCACTCGTCCGTAAAACGATGTGTTTCAATCGAATGTTTTTGTTATTTGTAATATGTTCGTCATGTTGACATCACAATCGACAATATAGCATGCGACTGTAATAAAATCAAACGATGTCACAGGCACAAATAATTGAGCTATTTGTCTAATGAAACATCACTAAACACAGGGAAATATGTATAAAAATAAGATTTTCAAAAGAACACCCGCTACGAGACATTCGATAAATTCACCGGG